TGGAAAAAGTAACTATTCTGGAAGATGTCCTGTCTTAGTAGGAGTGTTAATATCACAGGTCCAGACAGATTCCCATATGGATATATTTATTCTGCCAGCCAAAGGTTACCTTAGAAACTAAGAAGTAAAGCAACATGGTGAGTTTCCTATAGGAGAAAATTAAACTGAAAACACAGAGATTTACCTCTGCATAAAAGTACCTAACCTTGGAGAACTTTTCACTGTGTGAACCGCGTTTTATTTCACATTGCCTGAAGAGAACAAAATGTAATGAGATCTGCTACCCGAAAGTCGGTAGGAAAGACAAGTGAAAACAGAGATTTTTTAAAGGTGGCAAGGGACTCCCTTGCTTTTTCATTTGTTGGGTTTAATTGCTATCTTGAACGTGAGCCATCAAAGGAACCCATGCCATGAACGGAAGCCATATTGTTCCCCTGTGGGTGCTTTCTTTCTTCATTTGATGGTATAAGCAAAGTCTTTTGTCCAGCTCCTGTGGTCGGTCCATCTGTCTGGATGTTGCTGTTGTCGCTGCTACATGTTTTACTGGTCTCAGGGGGTCTTCAGATTGTAATTTTATGCAAATTACTTTCCTGACAAAATAATTTCAGACCTGGAAGCTGCTTTTCAGGTATACTCCATGTGAGTGGACATGAAGCAAAATGCAAAATGATTTTCAAGAGCAAGCTGTTCCCCAGTGTTATTTTGCTTTGCTGAGGATGACAGAGGAGCAAATGCTTTGCATCTCCTCTGCACAGTGGCAAGTATGAAGATACAGAGCCACTGTGAAGGACAGTCCAGTTTGATAGCCATCCCAAGTTAACACTCCTACTTTCTCTGTTTGGAACAACCCAGACTGGTTAAAGAAGCTCAGCTTTTTTTTTTTAAAAACCCAGCTTTTGGGACCTGAAGTGACTGGGATAGCTCCTCAGACTTCTGTGCCTGTACTTCCCACTCATTTTCTACAAGTATGATGCTGGCTGGGCTGTATCCATTAATGGTGGTTAATATCTCACTGATGCAGCATGTCTAGAGCCTGGGTTGAAAAGCGAAGTGTGAAGCAGCTCCTGAGAACTTGGTCCTCTGAAGGTCCCACTGGAAAGCAGCTCTTACTGTAACCCTCAAACCATTGTCTATATCTGAACAGGAGCTTCCTGAGCTGTCCTGTGATGACTTCTTGAGCTTCTACCACTAAGCAACCAGGTTGGATGCATTTCAGTGGGCAGCTTGCATCACTGATAGGCCATCAACCCTACTCACTCCTTTAAACAATGAATGGAAATGGTGCACAAGGAAACTGAGCAGCTTATGAGGTCCACAAGAAAGAGTTAAGGTAGAACCTCCCCATGTAAAGCCATGGTCATGCAGATGAGGTGGTGTGGCATGTTGAAGTGATACCTGATCAAAGATGTCCATCTCCTAGATGGGGTTCTTCTAATGGACAGCCTAGGCTATCCATGACTAAAGTGCTTGTGTGATTATAGCAGCTAAATTAGGCACTTAAAATAGGGACCTGGGGTTGATCCTCAGCATCTCTCTTATGGAGGGAGCTAGGTCTGTCAGCCCCAGAGAACAGGTGAGTTGAATCTCTTCTCAAGTCAGTGATTTCTGAGTCTTCCTTAATTTCCCTTATATATAACCTAAATGCAGCATAGATCCATCAGGAGACCACAGGCATATAAAGTTTAAGTTTTTTCTCCAGAGAGGTCTAGAGCTGCCATGAGCTGAGCAGCGTGATGCCCACGACCACAAGCTTTCCGTCAGCCTGAAGCATGCATTCCTCTGACGATGTCACCTGAAGGATGGGTGGGAGGGAAGAGGAATAAGGCTTCATTGCACTGTTATGTGACAAAGGAGGTTCTAGGAGCTAATGGAAATATTGTGGGGAGAAGAAGTAGTGTGCACAGAGAGAAACACCTTTGATTTGATTACAATAAAAAATTTATTTTGATTCATATCATACTGAAATATTAAATAAATAAAATGTCAAAGAATGATTGAGTGAGACTCCCCACCATCAGAGAAAAGAAAATAGCATAATTGATCATGTAGTCAAAGAAAAAATAGGAAGAAAATCTGGTCATGGGAGAAAAAAAGTGCTCAAGAGATTTTGCTTTGGTAAAATCACAACACACACTTAAGGAATGCTTCAGAGACTTTTCAGTGGTGGCAAAAACAGTCCAAGAGTTTGAAGCTTTGACATGTTGCTAAATGTTTTCCTTTGTTGTTCTTTTAAATAAAATAAACCCAGGAAGTTGCTAGCAGGAACACAGAGTCTTCAACATTGGCAATGGGAGTTAATTCTTCCCTCAGCATCATCTGTTGTCATCTCCTTATTCTGAAGGCATTTGAACGAGCAGCAAAATTGTGGAGAAACTGAGACAAAGATCTAACACAACAGTCATTTGCCTTAAGGGCTCTAGAAAAAGTTCCTTTGGAATAGAATAGAATAGAATAGAATAGAATAGAATAGAATAGAATAGAATAGAATAGAATAGAATAGAATAGATGGCACAGGCTATCCCTCATCCTACAGCTAGAAAGGTCCACTCTCTGCTCTCCTCACGCTCTGAAAAAGGGACATCAGTGGTACACAGTTACTGCTTGCTGTTGGCAAGAATATTAAATGGGAATTGCAGCTTGTTCCATGATGAAGACACTAAATCTATCCCCGATAGTATGAGCCACGATGTTTAATATGTGCTGTCAGAGGCAGAATATTCAGGGGAAAACTGGAAATTTAATTTGGACAGCAAAAGGAAACTTTCAGAACAACACAGACTAGAAGATAGTTGATTTTTTTTTTTACCACTTTGATCTCAAACTGCCACCTGTGATAAAAAAAATCAATAGGAATTGAGTACCAAACCACCATGAGTTTTCTTCCAAGTCTTTTTAAAAATGACTGGAACAGCAATTAAATGTTTCTGAATTACTGGCATCTGTCCATGAGAAAAAAAAAAAAAAATTTGAAGTTCATGATGAAAAAAGTATCTCCAAAATCCAGCCACAGGGTGAAGATACCACTGGGATCTTCCATGGAGTCTTTTTCCTCTTAAAGTTGCTTTGCTTTTATTACTGTGACATCTCACCAGAAGCATATTGTTTAACAGCAATTTAAACAGTGGGAATGCTCAAAACAAACAAACATGGTTCTGGTAGAAATGTTTCATACTTTTACAAAGGACATGTAGAAGACAGTAAGCCCATTGAATTTGCTGCGCCTGTGACATTCAGGTGAGTTCTGCTGGCCACCATGCTAGGAAAGGGCTTCTTGACATGAGGATCATGAACAGGTCTCAGCATGAGGATTTGAAAATCCTGCCCTTTCCACATTGCTAAACTGAAAGCTCATGTGTGTACAGCAAAGGGAGCTCAGTTCCCCACACAGATGTTTGGCATCCTCATCTCTGTATACGCTGTGAGTCCAGTAATACTCATGCGGGTAAAGCAGTTCATGTTGGCAAGTGGTGCTGTGGCCCAAAATACGTATATTCCAGCTGACTGTGCCATTGTGCTGTGAATTGCTGCATTGGAGGGGAGCTCACTTTTAACAACCGGCGCGGAAAGACAAGGGGATAAATCTTGGACTGAAGCACATAACTGTGGAAGGGCTAGGCTTTCACTGAGCTCAAATGCTCATCCGCTTGGACATGCTGCCACAACTGGTGCATGAAAGACGAGTCATTTAGACGATTTCTAAATTGCCACAAACCCCAACCATCGTAACCCATTAAAAATGAAATATGCCATTTTTTCTAAGCCTGATCTAGAGTCCCTTGAAGTCTGTGGCAAGAACTCCATTGACTTCACCAGAGCTAAAAATGGGTCAATAATCCATGAATCCTATTTTCATGATAGCAGGAAGAAAAAACCATTGTTCCCCATTCTACCTGAACTTTGTTCTTGGATTCATACTTTATCTATCTATCCTTGAGGTTTAAACACATTGATTCCAGCAAAAATCTGTGGATATAAAATCTCCACTGTCACTTCCCTCCTCTCACTGCCTAGAGGTACTGACATTAATACACTCATTCCTCCAGAGATGCACGTAATTTTGAAATTTGGCTTACACTATAGGATCAGCTTGCGTAGATTGTGTCCTTGTAGATGCTGCTACAGGGCAAAAGATTCCTCTTGTATTACTAGCTGATATCCCAACCCATGATATTTCTTCCATTTCAAATAGAGACCTTGCAAAGAGATTTATAAAAAAATAAGAGGAAAAGTTTCCTTGGAACTTTTGGGTATTTTCCCATAAAAAAGGTAAAAGCTACCTTTAAAAATTAGTCTCGTTTGTGTTTGCTCAAATACAATATAGGAGCTGTTATTATTGTTTCTGACTACAAAAGTATACCACATGGAGGCTAGACTTTGGTTAATTTTTCCCCCTTTTATAAAAAAGTTTAATTTAGGGTTTGTCATCTGTAAAAAAAAATCACATCTGTTGCAATTATAAAAGGCACATATAAAAGACTGAAAGAAAAAAGTCCACTTTCCAACCTTAAAATGGTTAAATAAAAATGAGCATTCCAGAGTATTTTCCACCAAAAAAAAAAAGAAATAAAAATTATATATAACCAAAAAAGACAAACATACAAGTGGCTAAAAAGGCCATTTTTTTTTTTTTCTGGAGTTTTCGGTATTGTTTTCTCTCTCATTATGGCTGTATAGGAAGCAATATTAAATAATATATGATCAGAGATGATTTGATCCATATTTTCTAGATGCTATTAATGCAGAATGAGGCAATGGCTGAAAAATTTGCTACTCCAGGCAACTTCATCATGTTTTTGCTTAATACATCATGAAACCAGAAGTAATAGAGGAAACAGAAGAGACAGTTCAAAAAGAAGATGAACAGCAGAAGTGAATTCATTTCTTTGAGGTAATCCTTACTATGATGTTCACAGCTGCCCTAGCGGGTCTCAAGTCCCAGAAGTTATTTTCACTCTTCTTCAAGGATCTCCTGCCTTACTCGAGGAAAGAACACACACACAAACAGCAGTTCCTGTGCCCAGGTTTCCCCTAATTGCAACAGGCAGATCTTTCATCAGTAATTCAAGAATCAAGCCGTAAAGCCTAAGCAGAGATTCATTTGTTCCCACAACTGATTGGTAGTCGCCAGCTATCTGTAGATAGGAAATCACATGCAGCGTGGAAGCCGGTCCTCAGCCGAGCTCCCTGTGGTGAGCATTGCAGCAGTGAGACGCTCCAAATCCACTGCAGGTTCACGCATTCAAACCTGCTGGGTGCCCAGATCATCTTCACCGAGTTTTGTTCTGCTGCATGTTGGAAATTGCAGCCCCCACTTCTCCCCACGGCAAGGGTCATCTGCCCTTGAAAAAATTTATTTTTTCAATGGAAGCAAGAGTCAAAGTTACATTGAACTCAAAATCCCCATCATGGACGCCTGTCTTCCGGAAAGCCCCAGCTGAAGCGTTGTTTTCCCAGTAATGATGCCAGTGTCCTTTGCTGTCTGCTCCAAAACCATACACATTCACCTAGGAAGTAAGAGAGAACTAGTGTTACGGCCTGGAAAGCAATTGGTCTTCATCTGAAATGTTGAAGAAACTCTCTTGATTCTCAGTTTATCTATAGGCAGCAGCACTTGAGGACCTCGGTGGTGTGCCAAGCTATTCCGCTGCATGAGATGATGCAACCACAGGGTAACGACCCAAGGCCTACTCAAGGGACATTATATCCTAAGATATGCTGAGACCACCACCATACCTGAACCCAGACAGAAAAGGAAATTTCTGTCCATGAATTCTTGTTTAGCAATATGAAAAACACATTCCTGTCCCCTAAGCGTGATGTTTGACCCCAGGAGGTCAGTGGCTTGGGATGGAAATCTCCTCTTTAGCTGATTAAGGCCACAAAGAGTGGAAAAATTTTGGGTTTGCTCCTAGTCTTCCAAATGATGACCCATGTGAACCCCCACTATATGCATAATTGTATGACATTTGCAGTCACTTCAGAGGCAGATGGACATGATGTTCTTTGTGTGTATACTCCTATGGCCTTTCCTCTCCCAACGGCTCATTTATCGATGGCTATGCCTGTCTCCTCTGGTGATAAAAGTCCAAACATCACAGTTGACTTATTTAAACTGAGAGTGGCGATATGGCTGGGTTTGAAAGGGTCATAGCCCACAAAACAAGTGCCCTAACCCATCCACATCTGGACCCACCCAAATATGAGCTCATTTTAAGTTATTTTTGATAACGTCAGAGCCTTGCTCATTGCCTGCTTACCAGAAAACAGGCTCCACCCGAGCCACCCATCCTATCTGCCTTGACTATGGTACAGTTTCTGCCAGCATCATTAGGAGTATTTCCATCACTTCTCCGAGCACCACAGGCCTAGGTGACAAAAGTTCCCTTTCATCAGCAGACCTGTGTCCAGGCCAAGGATTTTGCCAGCATAGTGATTTTTATCCCGCATGCTGACAAGCCCATTCTTGCAGGATTTTGTAGAGCAGACCTGGCCTTACAGTAACTAGCTAAGTCTCCTATCACCTAGGAGCACCTCATATCACTCAAGTCAGGGATTTTCCTCAAGTAACTGCTGGAGCAGAGGCATTTACCATAACCTACAAACCCACACGCTTGGGTTTGAAAATAGACCATCTGCACTCCCCAAATTGGCTTATGTAAGAGCTGATCATCAAAGTTCTTCAGGGGATTATGTTTAAGATTTAGATATCCAAATGGAGGTGCCTGAGCATCCATTACAGTCAGTGGCGATTCAGGTAGCAGTCACTGGAAACCAGGGAGTGATCCTGCTCCCCTGATGTCTTACCAGGAGGTTGGTTTGCTGAATCAGCCTCTTGGCTCCACTGATTAGACAGATATTACCTCAATGCAGTTACCCAAACATAAGTGCCATTTGAGATGCCCTTGGGTACTCAATACATCTACTCAAGGCAGGCAGATATCAAACAAGGCCAAGAGATTCGTACTTTTCTGGTCTGGCAGCTGGAGGCAGAGGGCATGCCCAGGGCAACACCAATGGCTCTAGGTGCCTAAACAGTGAGACAAAATATAATTTGGACTTCCACTAACAAAATGGGCATGGACATCATCCATATTTAGATGTCTTTTAATGCCAAGTGGAATCTCATTATTTATGTTGAATTATATTGCCCTAGAATGCATCTTAAACCCTACCACTTGCTGACATTAAAAAAATCAGTCACTCAGTTGAGCGTATCTACATGTTACTGAGGACTCTACATCTATTTGAAGAAGCAAACAGCAGAGAAGATGGAGACAGGGAAATAAAGACTGAGTGAGTGGTCAGGGCATGTTCCTGGCACTTCAGTGTGAAATGTCCCGATTTTTTATCCATATATCCAAACATAGCCAGACCTCATCGCATACGTGGAGTGCAAATATCAAAGACAGAAGGCCTGTGGAGGGGTATCTCCCATGATGCTGGAGCCAGTTTTCATAGACGTATTTCATAAAAGCTGGATTATAAACCAGGATCTAGGTAAAATTGGAGAGAAAGGCTCATTAGTAAAATACCCTGGGAAAAAAACCAACAGTAGCATGTAATCCCTAAAGGACACTGGGGTAGGGGAGTGGGGGAGAAAGGAATATTAGTTATTCCCTGAGGGCGGGTGAAAGGGAAAAATAAAGTCCCATAGTTAAGTGCATTCAAGAATATTTCCCATTTGCAATTACACATGAATATTCCTTTCTTGGTCTTGATACCCCATCTGCTTACACTGATGTAAATCCTGGGTGATTCCTACTGAAACCAGTGGGTATGAAATGGCACAAGTGAGAAGAAAATTAGGCATTCAGCTCTCCCTGCAGCGTCCTGCTGTAACGCAGGTGAGCTCTGGGGAGTTGGAGGCCTAAGCAAGGCAAGGGTAAGATGCCATGCCAGATTTCATAGAATCATAGAATCACTTAGGTTGGAAAAGACCCTTAAGATCATTGAGTCCATCTGTAATTTGGGTGGGAACGTAGGAGCAACAGCATCTTCTGCACAATACGCCAACCATGTCTTTGTATCTCTATAGGTACAGATCTAAGGAAACCAGGGGTCAGGTATAAACTATCAGGAAGCCTATCAGGTTGCATCAGCTGCATTTCTCCTGTTTCCCAAACATCTTATTTTTCTATGCTTTTTTTTTTTTTTCTAAAGACATAAAGTGCATTTGGTTACCTCCTGGTGAAATTATGAGGCCATCTAATGGAGACAGAGCACTTAAGATCAGCCCTGAGTGTACAGTAAATCCAAGGACTGGTGGGAGCCCTTGGTTTCAACCCCGTTCCCTGAATCAGGCAAAGAGAGGCTTTTCCCTCCATGCTGCATTTGTAATTAGAGTGACAGCGTTTCAGTGCTATCTGGTTAGCTGCAGGGCTTTTCCTTTTTCAAAGTCAGAGGTTAATTGCTGGTATTGTATCTGTGTGTAATCGCTTCTCACAGGGTGTTTTGCATTTCGTGGGAAGAAATACAACCTTCACATCTCCCTGCTTGGGAAGCTGCTGCATATGGCCAGCCATACCCTGGGCTGGTGCTACTCAACTGTGACGTGAGTTTAACAACCTGCCGTAGTGCATCTCACAAGGGTTTTGCAGAGGTTAACGTGTTCCTCATAACAGGTAGGGATGAGTGATAAGTGATTATTTAATACCCCCAGAGGTCCATGGTTTGAAGCACAGGGATATAAACTGATACTGGTTAAAGGTCTCATTTGAAGCCTTTGGCAAAACCTGGCCTCCTGAAAGAAGGACATGTGCATTAACCTGTAATTTTAATGCTCTGGGGCTAACGTCATACTTTACCAGCCCTTGAGACATTAGGAGCCTGAGCTTCTCTGAAAATCAGCCTCTCCAAAGGCTGAGAGAATAAAACTTTTATTTTGCTGGAAGGTCTGTGGAAGAGGAAGCGTCTTTTACCTGTCCCTACATAGCCTGCCTTGGTTATGTCCATGCAGCTACAACAACAAAAGTCTTTGCACGGTGGCGAAAGGTGCGACGTAGGCATGACCATCCTGCCCCAGGGGAAATCCTGCCTCCAGCAGTAGGGCATGTCTATTAAACCACAACATACTTGGACAATGAGTCAGTATGCATGGGTTGGACTCTATTCTGACTGCTGTAGGGTGGGCACCAGGTTTGTCCATCTTTCTTCAACCTTCTCAGAAAGTGGGGTCCCCTGGCCGATTGCCTTCTACACATCCACACTATGGATGGGAGAAGTGGCATGGCACAGATCGTGTCTACATTGCTCAATTCTGTCTCTGTGCAAAACAGAGAATATTCCTTGGTCTGCGCTATCCTGCAAACCTTGCTTGAACATTGCCTGTGAGAGTATTAATACACTTGGGACAAAACCAGCATGGATTTGGCCTGAGCCCAGTCTCCAGGCTTGTTTAATTCGGTACAGGCAGTTATTACAGCTGTGGGCTAAGAGCCTTCCCCAAGAGTCATTGATACCATCTTGAATTCTCCACTGACTCAGCATTGCTCACCTTTTCTTTTTTGACTTTGATTTTCCGTGGAACTGGAATATATGTGCTGTTAGAAGAAAAAAAAACACCACCAAGATTAGTAAAAGCCCAACATATTAATATTTTCCTGTATTTCCAAAGAAAGAAAGAATATTCTTCATGTACAGGAATATATTCAAATTATTTGAAAGCAATAAATTCAAGAAATTGTTGGAAAATGAGGCTGCAATTAAGTAATACAGCATGAAAAGACCTGAGGTGTCACTGAAGCAAGTTTATAGGAAGCCATTACATTTTTGAATTTTCAAGCTAATTATTGACAGTAGGACACCAAAGATTTAGTTGACAATATATTGTAAAGTTAATATTATGAGGAGCCCATGACTGTTGCAGTCTTTGCACTTTGATGACGGGAAGGGCTTTCCATTTAATTTCATGGCAGAAAAGCCTTTTCCCACCAGGGGGAGACTTTTCCCCTCCTAATACTTGAAGCTACTGCACGATTTTCAGAGTAGGTGGTAGGAAGAGTTAATTTCTGTGGTTACGTGCGACTCTGGCATTCCCAGTACACAGCCCCTCACCAGCAAGCTATTCCCCTCCTCCCCAGGGAGATGCTGAAGGCTTCCTGCAGTTCCCAGCATAAAACTTTCAAGTCATACCTTATGACTGGGTCGAAATCACGAGTCATGTCTTGAAAACAAAAAAAAAATCTTTTCTTCCCCATATCTCATGCACAGTGCATGCTGGCATTGTGCTCATCATGAGTGCTGTAAAAAAAAAATCTCCCCGACTTTGTTTCAAGTGAGAAAATTCTGAACCGGCCTTGTAACTGGACTATATCCCAAAATGTACCCTGCATACTTTTTAGATGGGTTGTGATAAATCACCAAAATCTTCCATTAGTTCAGTCTAAATGTTTTTGCTTGATTTTTGGTAACAACAGGGTTCCTGTGATTAATGTTTTATTTCTCTTTGAACCATGCATCATCAGCACTTTGAAACATTAATCTAATCTTCCCAAACTGGTGGTGACCCAGCAATGTCCTCATCTCCTCAGGTACTTCTGGGCATCCCTGACGTTAGATCCCTGCTCCAGCCTGGATGCAGTGAAAGATGTGACAGATGGGTTCCACTCCCACCCCCCCGAGATGTGGCACAAGATGCTAATGGGGAAAGAGACACCCATGCAGACTTCTTAATCTGCCCTCAGCAAATCTGCCCTTGCGTCTGCTTCCCATGCCTGACCTTGGTTAGCAAAGTCGGTAGAAGTAGGCTTGGTGATCCCATAAGGATCACATAAAGGGCTGCTTTGCTGGTAAAATCTCCTCATTATTATATAAATAAACAGCCAGTCTTTTCTGAAAAGGTGATGTGGAGGAATCAAGAGGGCCATATTTCATGGACATCTAGGCAGGTACAGTAGAAGACCAAAGTGAACACTGTGCAATATTCAAGACAGTATTTGCAGACAGCTCTAATCCAACCAGGATACTACTGTAGCCCTTGTCAGATGACGTTAGTTATTTTAATCATGGGATATTTCATTTTTTCAGAAGCAACACCCAAGTCCTGCTGTCACTTCATACAATCAAATGGGACATGTCTGAGAGAATCGTTCAGCTATCGATTCAATCTAATATTAAGGCCATCTGCACTTTGGCTTTTCTTTTGAACCATAATACAGGATGCTTATCTTTTTTAACTATGAGTGCACTAAGGTGATTATTTCTTCTCTTCTAAAATACCGAATTTCAGATGGGTTTTATTTTTATTTGATGCTTTCTCCCCTTTACTAATGTACAATCAACAATTTATACACTGTATCTAACATCATTGTGTGTTTAATGCATGCTCATAGGTTTATTCTGCTAGCCTAAAATTATGTTAAATGTATTGCTATGATTTGTGTGCTTATGATTTTCTGGTTTTATTGCTCCAGCATGTGCCAGCTTATTAATTATGCAATTTCCCTTCTTTGAGTATGGCAAAAATCTTAAAATACTGGTATTTCTTTCATGGGGTTAAATACTCACATGCTAATTTATACCAGATGCTTACCAAGTCCATGTATACAATCTAATTATAAATATATAATATATCCTGTAATTTATTAAGCAAATATGTTTTTCTTTTGATGTGCTGTGACTGCCTTGTAGTCAACCAGTTATATCTTCCTGACAGGCTAAGGGCTCATTCAACTTTACCGCTGCAACCCACTTGCTGCCACTTCTGAAGGTAAATACTCGACAAAAAATAATGAACAGCTTTGCAATCTGGGCACAGAGCAGTGACAGTGATGGAAACACAGATGGGTGACGATGGCAGCAACTGGCCCTCTGTGAGCACCTCTTCCTAGTGCAGGCATGGATTTGACAAAGATGCAGCAAGGGGCTTCATTCAAAGGCCACTGAAGGCAGCTGGGAGCTTTCCATTGCTTCTGAGAGGATTTGGATCCAGGATTAAGGGTAGAGGTTCTCAATCTTTTTAATCAATACAGCTTCTAAAGGAAAAAAAACCTAAGCTTTGCAAAAAAGGTGATATTTTTAAGCCAATTGTCTAAGTGGCTGATTTTTCCGAGATATGAGTGTGTCCTGAAGATGGATTTTTTCAAGACAACTTATGACTGTATATACTAAGTGCTGGTGGCAAAAAAGGTAAAAAGACACTAAACCAGATTTGTTACAAGTTAAGAGATTCTTAATAAGAAGTGAAAAGAATCTAAAATGCATTTGCAAAGAGAGAAAAGAAAAAGAAAAGAAGAAATAAAACTCCATTTGTTGTCCCATCTAAAAGTTTTCCTTAAAAATGAGAAGCGGGTCTTATTCCCAGTCAACAGGGACATATTTTTACAAGTTTTTAATCTTCTGAGACCCTGAAATTGGGAAAAAAGTTGACAAGTTTTGAAATACTTCTCTCTGGAATAAAGTAATCTGATCTGCTGTTGCTGTCTATGTGTAGCAAGGCGCCACCGAGCAATCCCACCAGGCTGTGGCTTTACATCCAGCAGATAACTTCACACACAGTACAAATGTCATGTATTTCATTCTCTGGATTAGGAAAAGCCAGCTTATAGGAAGGGAGAGAATCTGCTAGCAGGCATCCAGAAGAAACACGTGTTTTGTTCAGATTTCTAATTCTAGTGCTGCCATAAATGTATTAAGCAGGACAACATTTACTTCTGAAAGTACAAAGAAGAAATGGAGAATAAATAACAGTGTGGCACATAATTGCCAGGTAAAACATGTTAATTTAAAGCTAAGGCACACAGGTGACACACGAAACAATGGTGTCTCCTCTGCACAGTTCTCAATCACCTTCCACCAGGAAAGACAGAGAGAACTCCTGACCATCCTGTCCAGGGGAGGATGCTGTGGATGGGGGACTAAGTGTCCCAGTTTGCTTCTGTTCTTACTGCCTTCTGTGAGCAGTCTGCACATTCCTCTCTGCCTCCTTGTCCTCTTCTGCAAATGGCATAATATATGTTGGAGGACCACTTGGCCACCCAAGCGTCTTAGGTGGGATAATCCAGGTGTCTAAGACCACTGCTGAAATAATAACCCACCAAACACCTGACTCTGCAGAAGGCTTTCTGATGGGTACGTCTGGGTACGGGCATGCTGGCTGCACCCGCTGTACTCCCAAGGGACTGGAGAGGAGGAAGGATGAACAGAAGCCCAAAATGAGGCACTGAACCCCAAAGCCCAGGAAGCCACTGCTCAAACTGGCCACCTCCAGCAGCAAAAGTCCCCCTTTCATTTCTCTGAGACCACTGTGTGGGGCTGTGAAGAGCTGGATCTGCATCTTCACCTCAAAGACTGCACCATAACATTAAGCTTTTCCTAGAAAACAAGTGTTCAGGATTGAACCCTGACCTGAGAGGGTCTGTAAAGCTCCCCTAGGCCTTAGAAGGGAAATCCCTCAGAAGCAGGGGTTTGCCCAGCATGGGCTTTTCTGTCCTACAGCAACATGTGGGGGCTCCCACCCCTTCAGCCTGCTCACTCAGGGCTGTCCTTACTCACAAGTTGATTGTGCCTGTGGTGAGAGCGGTCACAACCCAGCGCAGGTCCAGAGTTTTGAAGGGGATCAGGATCATGCTCACGTTTTCTTCCAGTTCTTTGTAGCTCTCGGGGTAAATGAAGTGGTGAGTGGTCTTGCTCCCAACATCTGATTCGTAGCCAGTAGTGGGAGCACGGTTCATTCTGCAGCCCAAAATTAACACGTGAGAGAGTGAGGAAGTGGGAGAGGAATTAGGTAGGTACAAACATGTGTGATTCTCTCCTAAATCATTTGCTTGAGGTGGCAGGAAAATGCTCCCATGGCTAAGGAGAGTGCTGTATGCAGGGTCTTCAGACAGCCTTGACAGTGTGTAGTGGTCCTCAAGCGGGCTGAAATGGCCATCACCCATAGTGGATAAATTAAAAGTAAATGAAAGCTCAGCTTTAGTGTGGTATTCCTTGGACTGAATGAGAGTTTCTGCCAAGCAAGAGTATCTCTGAGCACATCCCTCGGTTCCCTTTACAGTCAGCAGAGAGCTGGTCAAAAGAGCAGTGAGTCTATGAGGACGCATCTCCTTTCATCCTAAAGCTGAAGCCTCCAGTAGGTGAGAAAAATATTGCCCTGAAGTCCATTAGCTTGACTTCTTGCAGTTTCATTCCCCCATCTGTACAGGTGTATTTGGATGTCTAGGGTCAAGGTAACAAACCATGTTATGTGTGATAAGAAGCAGCAAGTATTTCTTATGGTCCTCCCACGAAAAGGCACCAAAGCCACAGTGACAAATCCCGGCCCTACTGCTGCCACTTCATTTACTCAAATCTTACTTTGTAGTATGTCCCTCAACTTCGATACATCTACCTAGGGTCACTCCGCCCACACGTGGTGTGCTTTCAGTAACCCTGGGGTCAGTGCATGGAGATCTGCCCAGGGCCCACCAGGGCTCAGTGAAAATGTGTTGGCCAAACAGGGCTACTTTACGTTGGGCGTATCAGTGACCAGGGAACAGAGGGGCTTCTGAACTCAGGACTGCAGAAACACCTCTACGCATGTGTTCCCTCCTGAAAGCAAATCTGGGAACACATCAGCAATTCCCAATTAGCTCACTGCTAGTAGAGATTTGCGTGTTTCCATGGTGCAGCGTAATGCAGATTAGAGATCCCCAAAGTGGCTCTGACTGACCTTGCATGAATCCACGCTGCCGTGAAACACCATGGAGAAAACCCCAAGCTGGCTCTGAGCAGAATGGGGTTTCTCTGTAGCCCAGTAGAGTATCCTGCAGAGACATTAGCTCAGCTCCTGGCAGAAGTGAGGGGAGGACAAGGAAGGCTGTAGCTGACAAGATGATGATGAGCATTGTACATTGCCAGACAAAACGTTGTCCTGGTCACTGATAACAGGGGAGGTAAAATCTGTTTATCAAGTCTATGCCAGGCAGTGTTATTGCAGTGCTGCCCCCAGGTGAATTAGTTAACTCTCTCAAGGGGAGTTTTTAGCATTGGCAGACTATCCTGCCAGCCTGTGAGGACTTGTTATTGAGTTAGCCTCTTCCCTGCCAGCGACCTGCATTGTACTGTGTAGAAATACTCAGTAAAGCATGAGATTGACTGTATTTTATCTTGAGATAAGTCAGTCTGAGATATGAAATATGGGGGGTTCTGTCAGGACAAAGCCAAGGGTAGCACCTTAGTTATGTTACTCACACCATGCCCTCAGTCTATGTACTTTCACCACCATCTGTGGTGGGGCTGCCTGGGCAGCATGCCAGAAGGCAGCAGTCACACCCAGTCTGAGCAGGAAGGACCAAGCAGGAATTTCTTTCTGTCATGGAAGTAGATAGAAACAAATAAAAGTGGGCTGGAACACAGTGTTTGGAAGGAAAGGTGTCCCCTTAGACTCCCGGGCTTTTCCCCGCACTTGGCTGTATTGACAGAGCATGTGCAAGTGAATATCAGGTCACCAGAGACTTTGTTTGGTGGATTAACACACAGAGGAGTCAGCTTCTCTGCACAAGTTTCCACAGTGAATCCTAAAAACTTGTGCCATCTCTTCAAATCTGGCTTGAGATCCCTAAAATAGAAATCAGAGCCTGGAAGGTTCAATTTCAAATCATTGAGAGTTTCTCCCTTGCCAGGGATGCACGGCTACGGCAAAGGTTATGCCTCAGAGCAGAAACCCGCATCCGAGTGTGCTACTCTAGTTACTACTCAAAAAAGTTGCCTTTGAGTCTAGCAAAGCCTTTTCTGCATGAATCTGGAAACGCAGGCCAGGCAAGATAAGAAAGTCCACACAGGAACGGGGCTGTCTCCATAGCGAGGGACACGGAGTTAAGCATAAATGCACCTCAGCTGCCTCACATTTGCAACGTGCAGGATTAACGTTGAGGGCTCTTCACTTCCTTTTGTGGATCTGAAGACCAGGTTGGCTGCCTCTGCCTTTGGGAAGGTACTTTTGGCAGAGGGCAAGGTGTGCAGCTGAAGGAAGCCACTCCTGAAACGATTTATTGTGAACATTTAGATGTCATCTAAAGACGCTACAGTGTGTCCAAGCCACACTGGAAGCCAAGTGGCCTAAGGTGGTTTAAGAGTTCAAATAGTGCTAATCTTCTGCTGATTCACTCTTGACTTCAGTTCACCGCTTCCTGCTAAAGGTTATGTTGTTTCTGAGAGTATAGTCCCACATGTTGTATTTTCAATAGCAATCCCTCCCTTCCAGGGCCTGCGTTGCTCCCCAAATTGTGCTGTACTGGCAGCTGCGGTGTGAAAGCTGGACAACGCATTTGGAGATGAACTTAGTCAGCCCAGGTATCTTGGCTGCCCTGTGGGTGATTAGCTCTGCTTACCTAGTTCCCGCTTGCGTTTCAGTGGGATAAATAGCCAACCTTCATTGCCTCGAAAGGAAGAGGCAATGTGACCCTTTACAAAGTAGCTGTGGCCAACCAGTTGTCTCCTGTCCACTGCAAAGTGACTTTGGCTTTCCCACCCCACTATTGCTTAAGAATGAACCAGTGCAAGAAAGTCAAATCTGATACAGCCAATTAAGTGTGTAAAAGATGACTTGTGAGTACTAGCTGCAGAAATAACTTTTACTCAAAACTGCAGGTTTTTTCAGCTATGTTTTTTAACACAGGCAATTATGGATAGTGCAGAACAAGCTACAGTATCAACACCTATTCATGTGTTTTTCCAAACTAAACCATGAGGTCATATCTCCAAGACACATAGTTCACATCCCTGGAACTTAGATTTGACCGAAGTACCAGATTTCACTAGATAGCCCCTGAAATCTTGTTTGCTCACTTGCCCCCCCCAAATACCAGTGAATCTTAAACAACAGAGACATCTTGAGCCAAGGTGGTGCCTACTCACCTGAGCACAAAGTCATGGGAGTCAATATCTTGGCCATACCGAGACTGCAGAAGGTTCCCAGAGTTGCCCACGACGGCGCACCGTCTGCACATGTAAGTGCCTCGCTCCTGCAGTGGATCCCCATCCCCGGGAATGATCCCAAACAATTCACTGAGAGTAGCATTAATATTCTTCGGAGTTTTCTCTCCTTGCAATTTCTGTTAGGGAGAGAAATTACTCCAGGTTACCAATATAGCTAGCTTTTCTGTGAGCAAGACATAGCTTCAGATGTCTTCTCAAAGACCATTCTTGCATCTACCTGCAGACACTGTCTCCTGCAGCATCTGTTACAAGGCTTCGAGTTGGGAGCAGAAGTGTGAAAAAAAAAGTGGAAAATCCCTTCCCATTAACTTTTTTAACTTGGCTCTCCTTTTCTCTTCCTTTTCCTTCGATTCCCTCACCTCCTCAGTCTATATCTAGCCATGGTGGAACAGATTATGCATTTTCCCCACGGCTGACCTTAGCAGCATAAGTGTTCTTCTGGTGCCTATAAGTCTAATCACACCTTGGGCCAAATATCTTGTTAGGACGTGTATAAGATTTCTTTCACCCCTCCTAGGAAGGACAGAAGAGTCTCAGGGAACCTGATGGAGCACAGAAGTGGCTGACACCCCTTGCACAACTTTTGGCATATGCCAGAAGTGGGGGTGGGAGGTCTTATTGCTGCTGTTCTGGACTGTGGAAGAACCAGCTGCCAGGGCAATAGGATACCACAGTAAAGTAGAGTTAGCCCTGAGGGTTGGAGACATAAAATAATCTAAAACATTCTCCAGGATGAAGAAAACCACCCGGACCTTGGTCATTGTGTCTGTTGCCATGGAGGGAAACTCTTTTGTAGCAGCTCTGTGGTGCATGGTGGAAACAATGGCTGGATCAGAAAGGTACAGGCAAGGTGCAGGGCAGGTGATGGACAGACACTCCCTTTTTGGGGCTTTGCTCTCTGAGGGCTACTAAAGGGGTTGGGAGTGCTGGCAGGCTCACAAAAAGCATTGCCCACCCTCACAGTGCCGCTTGCTTGCAAGTTCACAATGGGAGAATGGTTCCTAACACAAAATGTGCCAAAAGACTCTGCCCTTGCTCTGGCAGCCCAGGGCAAGGAGAGACAGGGAGGGAGGGAGGAGAAACACCTTTTCCCACGACTCCCAGCAATGGCCTGGGGTAATTTGGCTTTAGTTTCCAATGCATTTCCCTCGACTGCACCAGGAACTGTTAATTTGTCCTGCTATCTCTCTCTCTTACACACAAACACAAACAGATGTATCACTGTAATTTTTGTTTAAATGTCATGCTTTCTCTTTGCAGACCTGTAAAGCAACCTTATTTGCACTGAATTGAACAACAGGTCTGTGGAGCTCAGAGCTAGAAGACAACATTGGGGCCAAGAACTTGAAACAAAGAAGACAAAGAAATATTGCATACTTCGACTTAAGCTTCCTGCTAATCCTTGCTAGCCTATATACTCATATATGGACTGCACAAGGTGATTAGGATGCAAGGTAATTAGGATGCCCAGGCAAGCACTGCCATTATTAACATGTATGTCACTCTTCAGTGAATGGCTCAATTATTTAAGTGAAAAAGGTTATCTTCTTCTAAATTTGTGTGTGATGCTACAAACACATGTTCACATATCTGAACTCTTGTGTATTCTTTATGAATCCAATCTAACCTGTTTTTACTCTGAATATATGAAAAACATTTAATGTTAGAAAGCCTGCAGCCTTCAAAATAAACGGAGGCTTCATAGATGTCTTAGGGTGTAGTATCAGGTGTATAATGTAGAAAAATCCAACCTTTTTTTAAAAAGGAACTTACTTTGACTTTTTTGAACACATATGTGCATACACCCATGTATACTCTCTCTCTGTAAAGGTGAACTGACATTAACTGTCTTTAAGAAATGAAAGGGAAAACCACCAAAAATGCACCAAAGCATTTTTAAGAACATAGTTATTCTGGGGAAAAAAAACCAAAAACCTATTCTTGAACTGGTTTTGTCTGAGCAAATTCAGATGAGGAAGGTAATTTTCAGAAAATTCTAAGTACCTGAGCCCCCTTTTTAAGTTAAATTGCCTTTTCAGCCAGAACGATAGCATCAGTAAAGGAAAGGACCTGGAGTATTGACTTCCGTTTGATGCATTAAAATGGTAAGAAACATTATCATGGATAGGCACCTCCATTTACACAGAACAGGGATCTGCCTTTTCTTTCTGTTATGCTGCTATCAGTCTAGAGTAACTCTATAGCAACCAAGTTAAAACATGGGCACCAAGACCAGCCAGAGAGCAGGACACCATTGCCCTACGATCCCTCGGTTGTACACAATTTCCACAGCAGATTATTACTTACCTTAGAGATTCCCTCAGTGATGTTAAATATGATGATGACCTTATTGCACTGTGTGTTGAACATCCATACAATAAGACATCCATCCTTAACTCATTAAAAGTGCTCTGTTTTAATTTCCTCAGTGATTACCTGATTGGACTACACTTTTCAGGCCTAATCTTCAGTCAGCATTGGTTAGTCTTTGACATTTTAGCAAAACAGAGCAGAGCAGGCAATGAAGCTGGTTAACTCCAAGGCAGATAGTTTTTAAAAGTTCAGACTTAATGTGCAGCCAGTTCCTTATTGCACAATGTTTACTTGACTTCTTGAAAAAGACCATTTTAATAGCATCACAATTACAAACCAATTATAGCTCACTTTCCCACACCAAATTTTTGTCCTTTTTTTTGAGTAATGTTGTCTTTTTTTTTTTAACAGGCTCCCATCAGTCTGGCCTTTCCCATAAATCAACAAAAGCACTGGGTGAAAGTCTGTCCATGCTGTGCAAGGCAGAGCCATGTCAGTGCCATGTGGCTCTGCTGGGACAGCATCCTGCCTCCAGGTGCTGTAGATGTGTGCCAGTGATATGTGTATGGATATAGCTGCTAGAAGTGGAGTTAATAAACTGAAATACCTGACCCCTGTGTCCTAAGTGAAGTGGCTGCTTTTCTTAGAAGTCTGTGCAAGGAACAGCTGTGTCTAATGATGCAACTTAACCTCTTGCCCAAGTCCAAAATGCATCTTAACCCACCTTGTGTCCACATATAAAATATCACTAGGTCACTTAACACTCCAGCTCCACTCCACAAAATATTTGTCTGGCACTTGAGAGTCAACTCTTCACCTTAGGTTGTTAAAAACTATAATTGAAAGTCCAGATGGAGAAGTTTCGTAATCATCTTTACAGGGAAGACAAACTACCGTGTCCTCCCAGCCTTAGAAACTCCCCACTTCACACACAGAAGTTTACTAGCTGGTTTTGCATCCTCTTATTTAAAAAAAGCAAGGGGGGGGGGGGGG